GTTTCATTATATAACAAGAAATCGTTAGTCCTGCACATAACAGCGTGAGAATCATGAGAAACTTGAAACGGTATATGATAGACTCTACCTAAAACCGCGAAAAATACAAGCAGAAACCTTAGGATACAATAGTTGCCAAGGAAAAAAATCACCAGTACCTTTAAACGTCTATTTTCGCAGTTTTTGTATAACTGAGCGGAACGTTTACTTTTGATGGTGAACCAAACTTTCCATATTTTGCCAAATAAGAACACAAAGTAGATGATAGTACACAATGATGCTGCGTAAACGGACAACTTCTGCAAATGAATGGGAACGGGTCAGCATCACCAGAAAAAATTTCTAAAAATAAAAAAATGCTCTTACAGCTATCGCAGATCCAGCCTCGCTCGACCATATGCTATAGAAAGGATTGCTCAGTTGAAAACCTCTCTCACAAACATCGTACAGTAATAATAGTGAAGATGCCACCACAATGAAGAATAGGTTAAAGCGATATGAAGCCTGAAAGAAGCAGATAACTGGAATTACGTTTGTTTCTGCACTTAATGAGAGGACGTACAAGCTAAAGAGTACCGGTGCCCTCAATCCCTCAGCAAAGTGCACTTCCTCAGCTTATAAATGCACGGGAAGGGCCTGGAGGGCTTGCCACTTTTCGTTGCTCTCTAACTCAAACTGCGTGTTCGCTGCGGGACTCTGGCATCTGCTGCACATTCAGGTTAGCGCGATCGGAGTCGAGAGAAGGCACCCAGGTACCTCCTCACTTACCATTTAGCTCATTCCTGTGCACTTTTGAGCGAAGAAAGTGGCAAGCTGTTGGGGCTGCGGACCACCCTTTCATATCGCACATGGACAGAACATCCTTCAAAGGTGGATTTACAGGTTGTCTTCGAGGACGACTCGCAATTGAACTAAGCTGGTAAGGAAGTACAGTCAGTGGCTTTCGAAAAGTTCAGAACTCTTGATTCTTGACCGGTGCTCATGAGTTATCACGTTGTAATTGTAAAATATTCTCAGGGCCTCTGGCTAAAGGTACCTATATGTACCCAGCTCCTTTTTCTCAACTTTGACACGACATCAGTTTCACAAGAGCGTTACCGAGTCATTAAGGTGTGGTGTCACAGCAGTGGAGCGACGACAGCAGTCCACGACATCAAGAGCATACTGAGAGAGGGCACCACTACCATTAAGATTGTCAGTCGCCTTGCAGGAGAAGACACGATCATCAAA